ACAGCCAAAAACATAACGATACACATATAGAGACATCAACATGCGTATCAACATTATCACTTAAAGCAGCAGACAGAGAGTTTTGATCCCATTTCCATGGTTTCACCTGCAAAACAACAGAGACCCCATTGCATAAAGATAGAGACACAGTGATATAGACAAGCATAGATGCACACTGATATATCAACACACAACAGACACAGAAACACTCAGGTCGACACAGAGACACATGCAGAGATACACACAAGCATATATATACACGCTGTATTACACAAACTAATATACAACACCACATTTGCTCACAAACACACCTAGACAGTCACTCACAGAGGCACACATAGATAGACATACAAATACACAAGCCAAAACATGTATACTCACAGAGACAGAAACACATATAGATAGACACAGAGACACACGCACAGACAACACACAGAGGCACTCAAGCACACACATCAATGCAGACAATCACAAACACATATATGTACATGCAGACAGACCTTAGTACACATACACTCAAATAGACACACATATACAAAAATGCAGAGACAGATATACATATACAAACACACATAGACATACACATATAGACACACAGATATTGCCAAGGATAGCAAAAGTGAAGACTCTATTATAATTAATTGTTCCTAAAACTAAACGAGAAATTAGTAGATTTGCAGGAATGTCTGGGTTTACTGAAGGTTTGTACATAGTTTTAGCTGGGCAGCTGGGCATTTTAGGGAAATAAAGCTGGGGCTGTTCAGAGGGCTGGTCAGAGTCAACCACATTGCTGTGGGTCTGGAGTCACATGGAAGCCAGATCAGGTGAGGAAGTTAGATTTCCTTCCCTGAAATGTTTCCACACCTTCCCCAATGTCAATAGTGGATTCATGGTCACCATTAGACTCTTAATTCCAGAGTTTTACCTTAGTCCAAGTTTCATCATTCTACCCTCGAAGGATTCGAACCCAGCTCTGCAGATCACTTCGAGGGTTTCGGGATTAATAATTTAATGACAATGCCACTAGGCCTTTGCCTTCACATCCTCCATCTCCTCACCGGTTTCCCGGCCTGGAGATGGGATTTCTCTTTGTTTGCATTGCTCACCCTGTAACATCAACATGAAATCCTGAGGGAGAAATCCAGACTTTGGCGGGGGGGGGAGGTGACAGGGTTGCATTTTCATAGCATGCTGTCTTGAATTCCTTATATCATTGAGGGGGGCGGCACTCTCCCAGCATTTCCAGCATCTCCAGTATTTAACTCCATTCACACCGGTTCTGGATCCTCAGATGTTGCCTGACCTGCTGAGGATTTGCAGCATTTTTGGATATCATTTCGGCTTTGCAGGACTTGTTTGCATGACAGCGCCATCTGTTCGATATGATCGTCACTGAATGATATTGGGCCGCAATACCATCTCCCGCCAGACGGAGGCGGTCCTGCACTGTATTTTATTTTAAAAAGAAAAAAAAATGTTCTAAGGATGGTCAGAGATAGTAGGAACTGCAGATGCTGGAGAATCTGAGGTAACAAGGTGTAGAGCTGGATGAACACAGCAGGCCAAGCAGCATCAGAGGAGCAGGAAGGCTGAAGGGTCTAGGCCCGAAACGTCAGCCTTTCTGCTCCTATGATGCTGCTTGGCCTGCTGTGTTCATCCAGCTCTGCACCTTGTTGTCTCTGATAACAAGGCCTGATGTGTGGGGTTGAGGGCTAAGACATGGAAGAGTTTAGCCCCTAAAATTATTGAACTCGACATTAAGTCCGGAGGGCTGCAGGGTCCCCAGGCGGAAAATGAGGTGTTGTTTTTCCAGCTTGCATTGAGCTTTGCTGGAACACTGCAGCAATCACACAGCCTGCCACTACACACTACCTATTGTTAGTCACTAATAGTCCCCATTAACAACTATTCACCCTCCTAGCCAGATTGTTATCAATTCCTTTGTCTATCCAATTGCTCTTCTCTCTTTTCAGGCTCTATCCTATCGTTTACTCCTAACCCCATCGCCCTCCCTATTTTCTGCACATAAACCAACGTTTTCCCAGCTACCGTCGGTTCTGAAGGAGGGTCACCGGACCCAAAATGTTAACTCTGATTTTTTCTTCACAGATGCTGCCAGACCTGCTGAGCTTTTCTAGCAACTTTTGTTTTTGTTCCTGATTTACAGCATCCGCAATCCTTTCGGTTTTTATCTAGATTAATTTGGGATATCTGGTCGGCATGGACAAGTTGGACTGAAGGGTCTGTTTCTATGTTGTATATCTCAATGACTCCATGACTGTAATTGTGGTGATAATTACAGCTCAGTTATATAAAAACATAGAACTTAGGAACAGGAGAAGGCTATTTGGGCCTTCGAGTTGCTCTGCCACTCAACATGATCATAAGCATCATCCAACTCAGTAACCTGTTCCCACTTTCTTCCCATACCATTTAATTCCTTCAGCCTTAGAACCATATTTATCTCCCTCTTGAAAACTCTTGGTTTTAGATGATTGTGAATCTTACTCCAGCAACCCAAGTCCATGGTCTAGTCATACTGCAGTATGGCACTGAGAGGTGCATCATTGTTCAAGGTGCCATTGCTGATCATCCTACTCAATAGCCTGTTCCTGCTTTCTCCCACATCCTTTGATCCCTTTAGCCCCAAGTGCTATATCAAATTCCTTTTTGAAATCATACAATGTTTTTGCCGCGATTGCTTTTTGTAGTGGTGAAGTCGACCAACTCACCACTCTCTGAATGAAGAAATTTCTCCTCATCTCAGTCCCAAATGATCCTTAGACTGTGACCACCTAGTTTGCACACCCTGGTCATCAGAAAGCTCCCTCCTGCATTTGAGCTCAAGCTGATACAATGCTGTTTCATGTTAAAATGAAGACCTGTCTCATCCTGTTAGTTTTTAAAGGTTTCTATGAGATTACCCCTCCTTCTTTTGAATTCCAATGAAAGATCCTACGTAAATGCCATTTCATTTCTTTTTCCCCATGAATCAAACACAATCTGAAATTGAGTCTCAGGTTTAGGAGGTATGGCTGAAAGGGTGATCAAGTGCTATGTTTCCAGTACAGTAACAGGAGGAGAAAGAGGTTAAACTGTTAAAGCTCAGTGGTTAACACTGCTGCCTCACACCGCCAGGGACCTGGGTCCAGTTCCACCCTTGGGTGACTGTGTGCAGTTCGCACATTCTTCCCAGATGCTCTGGTTTCCTTCCACAGCCCAAAGATGTGCAGGTTAGGTGGATTGGCCATGCTAAATTGCCCATAGTGTCTAGGGATGTGCAGGCTGGGTGGATTAGCCATGGGAAATGCAGGGAAGGGGGAGGGGCATGGGAAGCTCTTTGAAGGGCCAGGGTGGACTTGATGGGCCAAAGGGCCTACTTCCGCACTGTAGAGATTCTGTGATTCTTAATGTCCAGTCAGCTGATGTTCTGGCCACTGGTGAGAGGTAGAGGAAGGAGGGCGTGCATTGGTGAAATGCAGAAAGCTTTGGAGGATTGTATGGCTCCCACAGACACTTAGAGAATTAATAGCTTGGCTTGTGAAACACAAAACTAATCCCATGAAACTAAAAGTATTGAATAATGGGTCAATATGATAAATGTCAGAGTGTAATAAGTATTAAGAAGTTTTCCTTAAGTACCGAACAAGTCAGAATAAAGACTCACATAACATCTGATGAACATGAAGACAGTGTTCTTTCATTCCTACTGTGTAATTCTGTTTTATAGATTGTTAGATGATGCTGAATATGGATGTTGGCAGGTGATATTGGATTATGTTGGACGGTAAGTTGTCTTGCAGAGCTAATTATCCAAAAGGATCTAGAGACACTTGACACTTGGCATGTAGCTTGGTGATTGGCAAATTACCTTTAATACTGATGAATTTAAAATAATGCTAACTTGGCCCAGAGGTATTCAGCTTGATTGCATAAGGGGATGTGACATCTTGCAAAAAAATGGAACAGTCAAGCAGTTACATTTTGGTCGAGATGACAATGAACTGGGAGAAGGAAAATCAGCACCACAGCACACACAGAAATGATTACGGTAGATAGACATTTGGATGAAAGGCCGAAATGATTTATTATTTCAATGAGGTACATGACAAAAACCAATAATGAAACCACATTTGAAGTGCGTTGTGGAGCCTTGTTTTAGACAGTGAGCC